GACATCTGTGCAGTGAAAGGTGTGTGCAACATAATCATGGAAACATGGTTTTCAGTTGCCTCATGCTGTAATCAGCCCAGTGTCACCCATTTTAGGATCCCAATTAAATTGTGGTTCTTCAGCCAGAGGACACCATGCAGCAATGAAAATGCACAAACCGTAGCAGCAGCATGAACGGACCCCACAATCATGATGCCAAGTCAAAGGATTTGGGTCTAAAAGAACACACACTGTGTGATTTCACTAACCTAAAGTTCCAAAATAGGTAAAATGAACGTTGATATGAAAACTCAGATCATTTGGTCATTGGTTACGGCACTAGGGAGGCACGTGGGGAGTGCCTGGCAAGGGGCATAGGATGGCATGCGCTGTGCTGGGGGCATTTTAATCACTTGTTATAGGAGGTGGTTCCATAGACATGTCAACTTTGTAAAAATTCATCTGTGGCTTGTGTTCTCCTCCATATATGGCAATACCAATAAAAAGGTTATTTTCAAGTGGAATTTAATATCATATTCATAAAGCCTTTCATGGGAAGCCAGCAACAGGGTCAGGGTTCCTTGGGAATTGAGGGAGTGAGACTCTGGCAGGTGTGTTCATTCTCTCACTCTCTCTAGCTCTCTGTGTCCCTGGCTCTGTGCTGTTCAGCATGCCAGCAACTTAAGCTTAATGACAGCGTGACTCCAAGCAAGTTGTTAGTAGCTTCAGAATCCTTTTGTCTCTTTTGATGAGGGAAGGAGTGGGACAGGATAGTGCCCGGGTCCCTTTGGACCTCCACTACTAGGATGCTAGGCTCCTCCTCCTCTAAGAGGCTTCCCCTCTCCTCGTGTTTTCACAGGACTCTGGCATCTCCTTAGTCATTCTCTGCTGCCCCCTGGTCCCTAGTACAGAGCCTTGTACAGAGCATGTAATAAAAAATATTTGTTGGATCAAGGCACAGGTTCATTGAAGTGTGAACTCCACATTACAGTCTGTATAAATGCCTCAAAATTGTTTTTTTAAATGGACTGTTCTCAACTTGGATGAAAGGCAGTTTGTGCCCACGTTTAAATGGTATCTAACTAAGAACACACCTGGTACGCAGGGGGTGGCTGTGAACCACTTAGCAGTAGCTTTTGGAGGTAGCACGTCTAAGAGATTGAAATGTCATGAGGTAACAGCATCAAGTGTAAATAAAGTCAAGAAAGGATCATGTGGAAAATTTTACTTAATATAATTAAAGATAAGGTTTTTTTTTTTTTCCTTTTGAAACCTTTGTCTTTTTTTTTTTTTAATCTTAAATTTTATTTTTATATTCCCCCATACAATTGCAAACGCCCCATTCTGACCCCAATCCTTCCCCTCCCGCCCCCCACCCCCAAAAAGTGTCTCTGGTTCATAGTTTTTTGTTGATTTTGATTTTCACTTTCTTATATTCATTTTCCTGGTCCCTTATTTAAGTTTTCTAGATTCCTGCTATGAGTGAGACCATCCGGTATTTTTCTTTTTCTTTTTGGCTTATTTCGCTGAGCATGATCCCTTCCAGTGCCATCCATGTTGCTGCAAATTGCATGTGTTTATCTTTTTTGAATGCTGAGTAATATTCCATGGTATATATGTACCACATCTTCTTGATCCAGTCATCTACTTTTGGGCATTTGGGTTGTTTCCAAAGCTTAGCTATTGTAAACAGTGCTGCTATAAACATAGGGGTGCAGGTGCTCTTTGGAATTGATGTTTCTGTGTCCTTTGGGTAAATACCTAGGAGTGGAATTGCTGGATCATATGGAAGCTCTATGTTTAGTAGGTCCAGAAATCTCCACACAGCTCTCCATAGTGGTTGGACCAGTTTGCACTCCCACCAACAGTGCAGAAGAGTTCCTTTTTCTCCACATCCTCGCCAACATTTGTTGTTGCTAGTTTTTTTAATATGTGCCATTCTCACTGGTGTAAGATGGTATCTCATGGTAGTTTTGATTTGCATTTCCCTGATTGCAAGTGATGTTGAACATTTTTTCATATGTCTGTTGGCCATTTGCATTTCAGCTTGACCACTACCTCACACCATACACAAAAATCAACTCAAAATGGATTAAAGAACTAGACATAAGACCTGAAACCATAAAATACATAGAAGGAAACATAGGCGAAACACTACGGGATTTGCACATCAAAGACATCTTTACAGACACATCACCCAAAGCAGTGATAGTGAAGGCAAAGATAAACAGCTGGGACTACATCAAATTAAAGAGCTTCTGCACAGCAAAAGAGACAATAACAAAAACAAAGAGAAACCCCACCAACTGGGAGAACATTTTTGCACCCAACACTAATGATAAAGGACTGATCACAAAAATCTGCAAAGAGCTGATGAGACTCAGCAACAACAAAGAAAATAATCCAGTCAAAAAATGGGCAGAAGAGCTAAAGATAAGGTTTTAACGATAGCAGTCATGAGGTTTGATGAAGAATATTTGAAAGGGCTGAATGCTAAGAATTTGTGTGCTTGTCTTCTGAATTGTTCAACTGTACTTAATTGCACTTCTTTACTTAATGAGCTGAAACTGTTTATTTCAAAAGATATGTTTTAAAACTGCAGCAGGATAAGCCTCTATTAGCTTGATATAAACAGCTTTTTAAAAACACCCATTCTCCGGGCCTCCCCGGTGGCGCAGCGGTTGAGCGCTGGGTTGCGAAGCTGCTCGCGGCCTCTGCGGCGCCAGTTCGATCCCCGGCTGCTCCCCGGCCACCGGAGGAGGGTCCCGCATGGCGCGCAGACCTCTCCTGCTGCCCGCTGCTCCCCTCAGCAGTGTACTTCGGTCCTTCTGCCTGCTCTGCTCCCCGCTCTGGCTCTGGTGAATTCTCTCACCCTCCCGCGCTTCTGACTGTACCCAGTGCATGTATAAACAAAAAACAAACAAACAAATAAATAAATAAAAACATGCCTCTATAAAATAAATAAATAAAATAAAAAACACCCATTCTCCTTTATTATCGTTTTTTCAAATATTTCTTTGCTCACAAAGAACCAATTTGGTCTGTGGTTTAGTCTCCTGAGTGATTGAAACAATTTACGTTATCTTGTGAAGGCAGCCCTCCCAGTGCAATGGACTTTGTGTGTCTTCTCACCTTTGTGGGTTACCCAGATGGAATTGAGTTTCTAAAACTGCCTAATCCAAGATCAGGTGCTGGAAGAGGCATTTTCAGGGAGCGGTCTCTCCAAGGAGGGGTGTAGCGTGGGAAAGCGAGCAGAGAGAGTGTGACCTGTGGTCAGGTTCCCACGGCGGACTTTGTACCTGGGCTGGTCTCCACCTCCTGACCCTCCTTCTTCACCTTCCTGTACACCTGGGTGTGTATACATCCTGGGGGTATCTGCAGTGTTTCCAAGGAAGTCAGAGAGATAGAAGGAATTTCCAAGTTATGTTTTGGAAAAGTATAAATGTTAACTTATTTGGGACCTCTCCTGGTGGCACAGGCGGTTGAGCGCGGCGCTGTGAAGCTGTCTGCAGCCTCTGCAGCACCGGTTTGATCCTGGCCGGCCCACATGGCGCGGCAGACCTCTCCTGTTGCTCACGCTGCTCCCCTCAGCAGTGTATTTCGTCAGTCTGCCTGTTGTGTTCCCTGCTGTGTCTGGTGCATCCTCTCACCCTCCCGTGCATCTGGTCTGTACCCTGGTTCTTGTATAAAATAAATAAATCTTTAAAAAAAAGTTAACTTATTTGGTTTCTGACTCTCATCTTCAAAAAAGCACCATCATGTTCTTCTTTTCATAATAAAATCCTCATTATGAGTCTTCCTGTGACATTTAAAGTGCTTGATCCGATCATAGGTGCTCAATGAATTTTACACACTTTTCTGCTTCCATTTACCTACCTCATAGGTAAGAAATAGTTTATTTATTTTATTTTTTAATTTTTTAAAAAGATTTATTTATTTATTTTATACAAGCACTGAGTACAGTCAGAAACGCGGTAGGGTGAGAGAATTCACCAGAGCCAGAGCAGGGAGCAAAACAGGCAGAATGACGGATTACACTGCTGAGGGAGCAGCAGGCATGGCAGGAGAGGTCTGCGCACTATGTGGGACCCTCGCCGGTGGCTGGGGGTCAAACCAGCGCTGCAGAGGCTGCTGGCAGCTTTGCAGCCCAGTGCTCCACCGCTGCGCCACTGGGGAGGCCCGGTAAGAAATAGTTTAAATAAAACTTGTGAAAGTAAACACTCAATTTCATCTCCCCACTCCCTTTTCTAATATTATCTGCCATATTAAGACTATAGGCTTCCGTGGTGTGGTGGAAAGTGTGTGGATTCCAGTCACAGAACACCAAATTCTTGTCCGTGCTTTATCACTGACAATCCACATGGCTATGGGGGGACATTTCATTATTTCTCTGGGTCTCAGTTTTCTCAGCTGTAAGATGACATGACGGACAAGATAATGTACACTTAGATTTCAACAATTTTAAAGTACAAAATAACCTAACTGACAAATATTTTTACTCTTTCTCCCATCCCTGTCTGGGTAATTAAATGTGATTGGGCTTAAAGCCGTGATTGGTGGACTGAAAATTACATTTTCAACTTACTAGAATTTATTGTAGGAGAAGAAGCAGTAAGACATTTCCATTTCCAGTGACAGGTACCTAGTACTTTAAGGTCTTCCATTTCATTATTCACCTTAATGTTTTCACTAAAACATATGTGGTTTTCAAGCACAGGAAAGAAAACATGATAACCTGTGGTTATAATTTCCACTAGAAAATAGAAAAAGTGTAACTCAGAAAGAGTGTTTGTGAGGAGTTCCTTTAAATATGAAAACCCTTCCTACAAGAGCTTTTTCTCAAGAAGACTGTTGGTCGTTGCAAGTTTCAAAAGCTGTAGGAAAACAGGACCTAACTGCATCTTTTGTCCCAGTTAGACAAGAGTTGTGGTCATATAACTGTGAAGACTTCGGTGCTGGGGGCATTTCCAATCTTCTGTTATATTTTCAAGCAACCACTCTTCTTTTAAACCAAATTCCAGGAAATTTGGAGAAAATGTCTTTCCGGGTGACACTTCCCATTTCCCAGTGACTCCACATGTCCCTGATCAGATCCCATCTGGAAGCAAGCTGACACGTTCAATGAGCTCTTCCTCTGTAGCAAGTAACCTTCACAGGTATGTTCCGCAATTGTTTCTGCCTTCTACTGTGATTGGATGTTTATATGTGAAATGAATTCTTCCACAAATATTTAAAGAGCACTGATTAAGTTTATGATGTGTGCACAGATCTGAATTTCACAGTGACTCAGAAGAAAATCCTGAAAACAAATTGAAAAAATCCTTTGAATTTGCTAATAATGTGACCATCAAAAACAATAGGAGAGGTGTCATAAGTTTTATGCAAATTCTAGTTTTACAAGACATTGTTATTTTAACTTTGGAGAGCCTCTTTAAATGCCTGGGTTACTTAGTGATGAGGGAAAAGTCCCTTGACTAAATCCCATGCATTGGTTCAAGAAGTCACCTGCCAGGCTAAGTGGAAAAATAAATACGTGGTAGTTTAGATTTTTCTGCCGGTTGTCTTACTGATCACAATCAAATAAGAATATGGTATAGAAAGCTCTTTAGTGTGTCAGGAGGAACAGATTCAAGTGATTTGCACATGTGGGTTCAATTTTAGAGGGAAGAACAGCAACATACATATAACAAGAAAGCTGTTCTCCATCTGTCAAGCTCTTATCTGCCACAAAGCGAGATGTTATCAGTGTGTACGTGTATATACATGGCACAGATGTATGTGGTAAGACAGGCTTTTGTGTCAGCACAGGAGCGCATTGAGGAGGTCCTCCCAACCTGTGTTCCTGCTTCTGCTCTTGCTCCACTGCAGCCTGTCCCCAGCAGTGACCCTGTCAATGCCCCAATGGCATGTGCACACTGGGCAGCCCTCCAGAGGCTCTTTCTCACCATCCATCTGTCCCAGCTCTACTCCCCAGGCAACTCTCCCACTCATCTCCCTCACCAGCTCCAGCCATGTTGGCCTCTCCAGGATTGGGGCATCCTTAGAGTCTTGGCTGAACATATGTTTCTCAGTGAGGATTTCCTTGATTCTCTATTTAAAATTGCAGCCCTTTAGATTCCCCATCAATTCATATACACTGTTCCCTATGGCCTTCTCCCTGTTCCCTGTTTCCTTACCCAGCTGATCCTTTCTGGAGCATAAGCACCATGCCTGGGGGATATCTTTTCTCTTTTGTTTTTTATCATTTCCCCAACAATGTGGCACTTAGTAGTCATTCAAACATTTGCTAAATGAATGAATGAATTAAATGCAGATGATCATAATACATTTAAATATATGAAATATATTTCAAAAATATGCAATTCTTTTATACAGCATGATTGAATTGCTGTAGATTTAATTAGTTCTTTCATGTTGTAAAGAAGTAGTTTTTACATTTACCAAAATAAAGAAAAAACAAATGCTTTATTTTTTTCCTCTAATTTCATTGAGGCATAACTGACAATAAAAATTGTACATATTTTCGGTATACAACTTGATGATTCAACATATGTATATATTGTGAAATGATTACCAAAATCAAGCTAGGTAACATCTCCATTACTTCAGTTATCGTGTGTGTGTGTATGTGTGTGTGTGTGTGTGTGTAGGGGGCAAGGATACTTAAGATTTATCCTCCGTGAGTAAATTCCAACTATATAGCACAAAATAGTCAGCTATAGTCACACTGTTGTACATCAGAATTTGAGTAGCTGTGGATTTAATACGTACTTTCACATACTAAGAAGTATTTAATACACCTATAAATAAGAGCAAGGATCAAATTCTTTAAATGAAAATGAAATATCTTCCTTCAGACAATTGGAATCAAATCACTTCCATGAAAATCAGTCATAAGACAATGAAAATCTTTGCTTATTGATAATTTCAACAAGAGTTGTGAAGGAATCATTATTTTCAGATAAAATGCTGTATTCATTACTATTGTTGCAGTAACAAATGACCACAAGCATAGCAGTTAAAACAAAATGAATTTACCTCCTTACAATTAGTAAGTTTGAAGTTGGGGCCAGCCCAGCTGACCTCTGCTCCAGCCCTCCCAGCAGAAATCTGTGTTGGTTAGCTCAGCTTATCCCGGGAGCTCTGAAAGAATCTACTTCCAGACTCATTCTGGTTGATGACAGAGTCCTGTTCCTTGTGGCTGTGGGTTTTACTGGCTGCCCTTGGGGAAGCCCCCCCCCGCTTTACTCTGAGAAACTTCTCTTTAGTCCTGGCATGTGGCCCCTACATCACAGAGCCAGATGGGCATGGCCAGTCCCTCCCACTCTGGGGATCTCTCCCACAACTCCAGCTTCCAGGCAGAAAAAGCTCTCTGCCTCTAAGGGTTCATTTGGTGAAGCTGGGCCCTCCCACATAATCTAGAATAATATCTTATCATAAAGCCTACAGCCATAGCGATGGCTAGGAGATAGAAAAGGGACATATTTTGGTGGGGAGGGGGCCATTCTGCAGGCGTGCAGCCTTACTTTAGAGATACTTTCAGAAAAACATCACCTCCTAGAAAGAAAGGATTAGTTACTAGGAAAGTAACTGCCAATGGAGGATTATAAAAGTAGGTTGCTACTATAAGAGGAGGGTGCTTCCTGGTTTTCATCAAATTACAAGTCTGAGTTGAAAACGACAGAGAGACAAAGTGCTGGCTTATTAGACTAGATCCCCTTAGCTTTGCATATTCATAGTTTTGATTGAATCAAAATCTATCAAGAAAGATCAGCCTTGGAGAGACCAATTATGGTAAAGAAGCTTATAGGAGATTGATTTATAAATCAGAGTCAATAACTTTTTTAGTGTGCTTATTCACAATTACTGATTCAAGTCTTTTTTGTATGATGGGATAAGTCCTTGCAAAATGAAGAGAGAGATTTTTCTCAAGAGTAGGCTTTCTTCACCTTGGTATAGGAACTAGAGGTCCACCAAGGCCCTGTGAGCCTCCTGAGCTTGTTACCATTACTTAAAGAATGCAGCTTATTTTACATGAGAGAAGTGAGGGCCCTGAGGGTTAGAAGAAGCTTCTGCTCTTCATCCAATCCTAATTGGAAACAGAGATCAATATGCTCTGAGCTTCTGCCCTTCTCCTAATGGAAGGCACACTCACTGATCTCTTTATGACCTAGAAGAATGCAGTTTGAGGTTCTCATCCAGTTCTATTTTATCAGTAAATGTGTTCTCTCTGTGAATCTCATCTTTACTCTCAGAGTAAGGATGAGGTCAGCTCCACTTCTTGCCTGTTATGTGAAGTCTCTCCCTCTCTGTCTTTGATGCCCCAGGTCTTAAAACAGGATAAATATTCCTGATCCACTCATTATTCTTTAGAATTCACAGCCACGTGATGTCTCTATACATATGTGATTGAGATTGCTTTTTCCTTTGCTAATCCATGTGATGCCGTTTTGATTACTCAGCCATGCCGAGAAGAACACAGAGGGATATGGGATGATTTCTTTTGCACCCTGAGAGTGTCAGAAATCATGTCAAGCATTGCTTAGATTCTGGAAGGGACAGAGATGGCAATCAAAAACTAATTAAGGGAACAAGATCACTTCAGATAATAATAAGTACCAGGAAAAAGGCACTACAATATGATGAGATACAGAGAGGTGCAGAGTGCTGGGGGCAACCTCAGCGAAAGTAGCATCTAAATAAGACCCAAGGGCCTCCCTGGTAGTGCAAGGGGTAAAGTCTCAGCACTATGAAGCTATCAGCAGCCACTGCAGCATGAGTTCGATTCCCAGCCAGGGAGCTACCCACATGGCACAGCAGACCTCTCCTGTCTCACCTGCTGCTCCCCTCAGCAGTGTACTTTGCCTGTTCTGTTCCCCATTCTGTCTCTGGTGAATCATCTCACCTCCTCCCCCATTCCTCCGGCCTCTACCCCAGCTCTTGTATGCATAAATAAATAAATCTTAAAAAATGAAAGGAAGGAAGGGGGTGGGGGAGAGAGAGAGACAGAGAGAGAGAGAGAAGTCTCAATGAGAAATAGACACCCGCCACTTGGATACCTCAGGAGAGAAATGGAGCAACAGAGCTTTCTAGGCAGAGAACTGCAAATTTTAATGTAAGATTAGATTTCCAGTGTTAAAAAGGGAGAGCAAAAATCGTGTTGCTCTTTTCACCTATCAAAAAATTAAAAAAATAAATGTGTTGAGGAAAAAAAATAAAATATTTATTGATTAAAAAAAAATTACCTAAACGCAACAATGAACACAGCAACACAATGAAACCTGAAGTATTGCTAGGCCATCGCCTGTGGGGAGGCTCTGTCAAAAGTTTGCTGTTTGCAAAGGGCAGTTCTGTGAGCATGGCTTTAGCAGGGAGAGGGCTACTTATAGAACTGACACACACACAGCTCTTGGGATCAATCCTACTAGCGTGCAGCATGATTTGGTGCTGCCACTGTGTGCAAACCTTGTGCATATAACTGGTCCAGGAAGAAACCTTAGACATTATGATACCAAGAGGTGGTCTCAGTTTCCTCAGCCAATAAAAGGAAACAGAGTTTGAGGAGAAGGAAAATAGTTTAATTTGTTGACAAACGGAGGAGGGCGGCAGACTCGAGTCTGAAAGACCACCGTCCTGCACTTTGGCAGAGGGCAGGGGTGTGCATCCATAGTTGCAAGGGAGCAGAACGGGGGAGTGGACAAGGGTCAGCATGTCCATCCTTGCAACACAAGCATCTGGAGGCTTTGGTTGACACAAGCTTGATTTTGTTACCACTTTTTTTGTGGCCAACAATGTCAATGCTATCTTACTAGTGGTGCTCTTTTCTCTTGGAATGTAAGAAAACAAGGTTTGTTAAGCCCAGAGGGTAAATAAAGGAAATGGGAGCGATTCTCTGGTGGAACTGAGAGACAAGTCTTTCATTGCTGTATCAGTTATGCAAACGCTGCAGAAGAATGCGTACTGCGTGACTCCATGTATGTGAACTAGTAGGGCAGGCAAACTTACCCACAGGCGACAGAAATCACAGCGGTTTCCTGGGGCAGGGGCTGGGGATGAAGATTGACTACACAGAGATACAAGAGAACTTCTGAGAGGGGATGGAAATACTCTATCTCGATTAGGTGATGGTTACACAATAGACATTGAGCAAAAGTCA